GGGGGGGGGGGCCCCCCTTTGTTTGGGGGGTGTGTTTTTTTCCCAGAAAAAAAAAAAGGGTTCCTGGGGGGAAAAAAAACAAAAGGGGGGGGGACAGGGCAAATTTTGGTAATTTACCCCCCCGGAAAAAAACGTCCCCGAAAATTGGGGAAAGAGGGGGGCCCCAAGGGCCCCTGGGGGGGGGGGAAAAATGTGCCAAAAAATTTTTTGGGGTTTTGGGGGAAAAAAAAAAAAGGCCCCCAAATTTGGGGGGGTTTTTTAGAGGGGGGAGAAAGGGGGTCCCTTTCAAAAAGGGGGGGGGGGCCAAGGGTAAAAGGTTTCCGCCAACCAAAAAAGGGGCCCCCCCCCCCCCCCCCCCCCCCCAAAGCCCGTATTGATTTTTCGTCCCCCCTGCTGCGCTCGCTCACTCAGATTCGCGGTGGGATATGGGGGCATGCGGGCCTGCGGTTTCAGCGAGCAAGAGGCTCGTACAACAAGTATCGAGGTGAGTTCAGAAGGACAAGCTTTGATTGACCAATCGATCCATCGAGAGGAGGGCCGACGTTGCTTGTTTTCAAGCGCGCCTTGGCTGGACGCTCTATAGAAGCTCGCAAGGAGTTGCGGCTCAACAGTCTCAATTAAGCACCCCTTTGTCACAAATAAGACATGAAATCAGTTCTCACAACACAGCCATCTTCATGCTTTGCCCGTGGTCCCGGTTGTCGTTTTGCATACCTATGCATGCCATATGTTTTCTTTATTTTTGTTCCCTCCGAAATGTGCTGTATTCGAAACAGATATTCTGCCAACACTGCTGTACGTCGAAGTAATACGAAAGTTATTTGTTGTTTTTTAGTTTGGTTTGCAACCGCTATGATTGTAAGACGGGGGCCTAATCGTTACGCAAACGGGTCGAGGTCGGTGCTAGAGTAATGAAGACACTAAATAGCACACATACACAAACGAGACCGCTATTATGGTCCAACTCCTGCGGCCCCCCTCCTGTCGGCAGAACCCTTCTAGAACACAATGTTCGCGTTTTTTATCCCGCAATAACCATGCTGGGGTCTTCTTTCATTGGTCAACCGGTTAGGAGCGCGGGGTTGACGCCAACCAAAGAAAACACACACACAAGACACACATTAACTTGTTCAACTCGAGACACAGAGAGAGAGGGAGAAGAGACAGGGGGGGAGGGGGAGAGAGAGACACAGGGAGGGAGGGGGAGAAGAGAGACAGGGGGGCAGGGGGAAAGAGAGAGAGAGACACACACATACACCGAGGTAACAGCCTTGGTAGACACGTGCAGTGCTGTTGCTACCGTTCCTGTCTTCGATCCGGAGACTAGCTTAGCCTCGCCCATGCCGCCCCCTCACGGGGTCCCAGTTCATCGCATTTAGAAGTGTTTTGTGTCTTCAACCGCACTGAGACTGACGTTTTTTCATTGGTCAGCCGGTTAGCGCGGTCGATGCTAATAGTAGAAACACCACGCGAAAGGTGTCCTAGTGAAAAACAGGCAAAGCCCTGCCCGAATGCATGCGTGCGTCCAACAACAAAAAATACAGGTTGGCATGCAGAATTCTGCGCTGGCGGTCGTCCTGGCGCAGAGGGGCCTCGCGGACCCCCTGTCGGCGATCCCGGGAGCGGTCTCGGCGACGTGCCACTCCCTCATAGGCAGCGCCCTGGCAGCCTTCTGGCGCACCGGGGATGGAGGGTCCCGAGCAGAGCCGTTGCCATCTACATCGACAGCAGCAGCGGTGGGGGGAGGGGGGGAGCAGCAGCAGCAGGTGGAGGAAGTGGACCTGTACGATGCTGGCGGAGGAATATGACAGTGCGGACTGGGGGGGGCGGGCGGGGGGGAGGTGGATGTGCAAGTCTTGCGAGGAGATGGTGGTGGGGGTGGCAACAGCGATCGCGGGTGTATGCCATTGTCAAAAGTTACAGAGTGAAACCACATTGTTCAGGTTGGACCCGGAAACAGCCGTGGTGTGCCGTTTCGGTGTTGGCTCGGAACCACTTACGACTGGAGCTGTTGTTCTATTTACCATGCGTGTGGTAGTTTGTTGTTAGGGGTCACGGGATGTACGGTAGATTCCATGGTTTATGATAAAAGGAACCATGCTAGGCGCCTCTGGCGCTGCTGAGTATCGAACGTAGTTAGTTATTAATGTTAACCCGTCCGTGTACCAAGCAAGGTATCCGTCATTTTGACTAGTATTCCTGCTCACAGTAACCTTTACCTGGGAGTAGATATTTCAGGGGTTGGTTGCATTTCAGGGTTTGGTTGCACATAATGCCCTAGCTAGGTTTGAGCTGAAGCCAGCGAACATGCTCCTCTCTTCTCGATAATAGGCACTGACTGTCGTCCGGCTGCTGTATTGTAGTACATACCATTATCCAATAGGATCCTAGGCAGCGAGAACTCTCCGACCGGCAAGTGTTGCTTTACAGTAGCATACAGTATTGTTGATTTATTTCCGTATGGCGCCTGATGCAACAAGATGATAAAGAGATACTATTGTTTTTGTTTTTTTGAGCCTTGAATGCGACAAGTGATCGTCCAGTCTTGTTCAGCCTCCTTCGCCATGAGCAAAGAACTGCCGACTAAATCATATCATATAGGACAAAGGAATGCCTCTTGTTCTGTCTGTAAATACTACAAGGTACCAGGTACGGAAGAAGGACCGAGAGTCGGCCGCAGCCGATAACAGTCGATCGTCAAATAATAATCCATGTTGGAAGTGAAACAATGCCAAAATCGCCTTGCAGCTGGCTGCGTTGGTGATGACAAGTAAGTCCGACCACCATCATCACGCGACTGCAAAGAAGGGTCTTGCGTCAGCCTATGCATACGCCTTGATGAATGAAGTGGTATTGTTTTGTTTAGTTTAGTTTAGAACAATGCCATTCTTTTTGGGTCTTGGGTGCAGTCTTCAGGTAGATGCAGCTGGTCGTTGTGCCCAAATAAATGGCACCAAATAGTCGTTCTGGTCCGTTCGCATATCTATGGTCGGCCCTTGTCTCTGGTCCGTTCGCTTCCTACAGTCGCACGTATGCGCACGCAGCATTTTTTTTTTTATTCAATCAATACAATGACCCAAACGAATCCATCTCTATCAAAGAACAGCGTCGAAGATAGAGTAGCAATGAATCCATAGCACTCGCGAAAATTCTGTTTTTCCAAGATTGATTTCCCGAGCAGCACACAGTGACATCCCCCCCCCGTGGTTAACAGGGTCAACAAGACAGTTTGGTAGCCGTCTTTGTATCTGTCTGTCTGTATGGGAAGGTGTAGAACAGAGGGAGGAAGAGGTTGGGTAGTTGGTTCGTCGGGTGTGTATATTTTTTCGGTGTGAAATTTTGCGCGCCTTGTTGTGAAAATGCAACTATTATCAGCTGGTGTTGTTCTACGTTGTAGTCAGGATTCCATTCAATGTCCAACTGCCCAACAAGCATGAATCATTCCATTCGATGTCCAACTGCCCAACAAGCATGAATCGTACGTGCAATGACGATGTGGTCATCATCGATCGTCGCGTCAGTCAGTCGCGTGCGACCTCTCTGTCTGTGTCGTTTGATCAGATAGGGGCCGGGGGTGAGCGCGATCTTTACTCACCACACAGCACCAACCACCAGCAGCAACAGCAGCAGCAGCAGCTACACCAACCTTGTGGCAGCGGTTCATCGGTTGATTGATAATTCTTTGATCACACACACCTACCTACACCTGCCTGCTACATTTGTCCGGGCGTTGATGTTGTAAATAAAGATCTTACAGACACGGAACATTCTGCGGAACCTTATTCTTTGCGTTTTTTCGTTTTTTTCTGTTGACGCGGATTGACTGGACGTACGTAAGCGCAAAGAGATCGGAAGGGTTTGCGGTACAGCAGTATTACAATATCCTCGCGGAGATCTCTACAAACTCTGAGACATCTTAGGACTGATACCAACCTATTGCAGAGCTCGATCCCGGCAGAATTAGCGTGGGCACAGAGACAAGAACAACGCGGGCAACGAGACGAGTCGAAACAGGCGCAGCACACAACCACCGCTCGCGGGGATCATCTCAATCCGTCAAGGGGATCTTGCAGCGTTGCTTGGAAACTCGCGTGCGCAGCAAAAAAGAAACACATCTTCATCAAGGGGAGTGAGGTGAGGCCCCAGCGGTGGAACCTGACAGCCCGGCCACCGCAGCAGCAGCAGCGGGCACTGCTGCTGGGGCGGGGAGTTTTTGCCAGTCTAGCGTGCGTGAGGTTTATCCGTGTGCGCAAGTTTAGTGTCGGTGTGTGTGGCGCTTGAGAGGTGACAGCAGCAGCACGCACACGCGCGGCGAACTTCAACCAACCAATTACATCATTTGTTTTTTCTTTCCCAGGGGCACGACCAGGCCTAGCACCGATCATTTTCGTCGAGGGTCTTTCTTGTGTGATGTACGCACTTCACCCCCAAGAGATCGCCGACGTTCTAGATATGCATAGTAACCGCGCCTTGCAGCATCCCATGGTGCGTTCCTCGTGGGGGGCGTTTTGCTGTCAGTCTGTCTCCCTGTGCCTTTGGCACGACTTGGCGTAAATATGTTCGAAGTACTCCAGTGTATGTATACATACATCATAGCCAGATCACCACCCATGGTGAAATGACGCATGGCATCCCCGTAGTCCACTGACCCAGCAGCGCGGCTAGACAGCAAGCCGCGGCTTCGGGGCCGCCATTAGTGCAGGTTTGGCAGCGCTCAGTTCCGCCGTTAGAAACGGGCAGGTCGAGGATTTTCACAATCGTCCTTTCAGATTCTGATAAAAAGAGACTCTACCTTGGGCTGTCAAATGTATACCAATCAACAGCTGCTTTTTAGTCCGTCGACTGTCGACATCCCTCGGGGCCATTCACGCCTTTTACCACGTGCTACTCTGCTTGAATGTGAATACCACACACCGATAGGCCACTTTCAAGGCGCGAATTCTCCACGACGAAGAGGATGTAATGTATGAAACTCAGGCGATAGGCGTTCGGAAAGGATCTCGACGAGGAGACGGTTCCAACGCCGCTATTTTAGGTTGCATCACACCAACCAGCACTCACTGTTCAAAGTATTGAGATTATTTTTTTTTTCCATCAGTCATTATGACCACAACGAATCCAAAAACTCAGTGCGCGTGCCCGCCGAAAACAAACACCGGCACGATGCCGAGCACCGGCACTATCCAACCCGCACTATATCACGAAGTAAGACAGGGACCTCTACTGTCACAGCGTGGGCGGTACATACAGCAGTAGCGCCATGTGTATACGCTACGTATGCATGCATGCATGGTAACTCGGTGAAGCTTCTTCCTCTCTCTCCCATTGTTCCCCCCCCAAAACAACAAAAAAAAACGACGGCTACCAAACTGTCTTGTTGACCCTGTTACCCACGGGGGAGATATCACTGCTGTGTGCTGCTTGGGAAATCGTGGGAAAACAGAACTTTCGCTGACGCTATGGATTCAGAATTGCTAATCTATCTTCGATACAGATGTACTGACTCAGTACTGACTAGTCTAATGGTTTGGTTTCGGCTTCTATAGCCCGCAGCGGGCAACCGTGTGGAGCAATATCATTATTATTTAGGAAAAATAATACCCACAGAAAGACTACCCGTTCGAGATATACCCACGGCAGCAGTCGAACAGGATGTTGTTGTTGGGATGTGGTGGATGGAGTCTTTTCAGTGAGTGGAGGAAAACCGGCTGGTGTTGGCGGTTTAACACGCAACAAAACATCTGATCTACAGTTTACTATTGATTGAATCGGTGAGAGGTTCGCGCGGTCGATGCTACTAATAGATATGCAAACAACACCAATCGGCCCGCGCACACGGGAACTCTTCGATACACAAATAGGCGAGAAGGTTGTAATTGGTTTTAATTGCTAGAATTCAGGTCTGTATGGGGCCTCTTTTATTAAACTACGGTGTTCGGTATTTTTATCTCTCTCTGCAGTTGTTCTAATATTTTCTACCGTTTTTTTCAGGTGTTCTTTTTTTTTTTTTTCCTGGGCCCATTCCATTGTCTCGTTTGAGTTTTTCGCACTGCCTGTACCCTTCCTTTTGGAGGGGGTTATAATAGTAGTTTTGTTGGCCTGTGACCACGGAGGAAGGCGTCCGCATCAGGTGGACCGGTACGTACGTACGCTGGAGGAGAAGGTGACATGGTACTGAGCAGAGCCCGAACGGAGTAAGACAACAACAACAGCAACATCCACACATACGTTGTGTTGTGAATGAAGAGAATGGAACTACTGCTGCTGATGGGCCGCACGCGCCCGGGGAGAACCTAAGAACCCCAGCCCCGGCCAAAGACAGAGGTTATTTCGAGCTTTGGCGGTACAAATGACCTGGAAAGAGACTACCGTATGTACCACGTTGGCTCTTCCTCGCCAACACTTGCACGAAAAGGTGTTAACACCCATTATTCTAACCCAATATTTTCTCTCACCCCTCCCCCCCCCCCCCTCCGTCCATAAGAGCGAGGGAGCGAGGGAGCGAGAAAAATAAACCCGTACTCCGGACACCCGGGCTACCCCAACGGCCCGTAAGTTCCCGGGGAGGAGTCGCTGTCGTTCCCCCACCTCGGGGGCGCCACCCCTGGGGGGGACACGGCGGCCGGGGG